ATATTCACTTATCGATTTACTAATCGATTTATTAATCGATTGATTAATCGGAGTAGCAACACGATTACGCGAATCACCCCTCTTATCTTAAGTAGCTTTTAGCTATACGCATTCACTTATATCAATCTGGATTACTTGTATTAACTTGTATCTGCTTATATTGATTTGTATTAATTTATATTAACTTTTATTGACTTGCATTAACTTGTATGGACTTGTATTAACTTGTATTAATTTATATTGATCTGTATTTCATATTGATCAATCGATTTATTAATTAATTTACTAATTAATTTACTGATTTATTTATTGATCGGAATACCAATACTATTACTCGAATCATATCCCTTTTTCTTCTTGAGTAGCCTTTGGCTATGCGCATTGACTTGTGTTGATTTGTATTGCTTGTATTGACTTGTATTTACTTATATTGATTTGTATTAATTTATATTAACCTTTATTAACTTGTATTAACTTGTATTAACTTGTATTGACTTGTATTTCATATTTACTTATCGATTTATTAATCGATTTACTAATCGAAGTAGCAATATAATACGCTAGTTATTCGCACCTTTTCCTTCCCTTTTTATTGCAATTGATAAGACTTTAAAGGATTAATTAATTTGCGACCGATAAATCAGCGATTATAAATTAAAGTTAATATTTCGTATATCGTAAAGTATAATTAAAATAAAAACTTTAAAAGAAGAATAATTATCAGTTCGTTATTTATTAAATCAAAGGTTAAAGTATTGCTATAACGATAGCAGCGGCTGTAGCGCTGTAATAATTAAATAGCAATACAATTACGCGATTCATACCTTCCTTTTTCCTCCTTCCCTTTCCCTTTCTTTTAAATAGCCTTAAGCTATACGTATTAATTTATATTAATTTGTATTACTTGTATTGACTTGTATCAATCCGTATTAACCTGCATTTCACATTTATTAATCGATTTACTAATCGATTTATTAATCGAAGTAATAATATAATACGTCAGTTATTTGCACCCTCCTTTTCCTCTTCCCCCTCTTCTCTTTATTGCAATCGATAAGACTTTAAAGGATTAATTAATTTGCGACCGATAAATCAGCGAATATAAGTTAAAGTTAATGTTTCGTATATCGTAAAGTATAATTAAAATAAAAAACCTTAAAAAAAGAATAATTATCGGTTCGTTACTTACTGAATTAAAGGTTAAAGTATTGTTATAACGATAGCAGCGGCTGCAGCGCTGTAATAACTAAATAGCAATACAATCACGCGATTTATACCCCCCCTTTCCCCCCCCCCTTTCCCCCTCTCCTGAATAGCCCTTAGCTATACGTATTAACTTATATTAATCTATATTATTTGTATTAACTTGTATTAATCCGTATTGACTTGCATTTCACATTTACTAATCGATTTATTAATCGATTTATTAATCGAAGTAACAATACAATACGCTAGTTATTTGCACCCCCCCTTTCCCCTTTCCCTCCCCTCTTTATTGCAATCGATAAGATTTAAAGGATTAATTAATTTGCGACCGACAAATCAGCGAATATAAGTTAAAGTTAATGTTTCGTATATCGTAAAATATAATTAAAATAAAAAACTTTAAAAGAAGAATAATTATC